CATTGCTCAATGCAATGATGGCCGTAGCAATGATCCACTACTCGAACTCAATATCTGATGCAATCTCGTTCAAACTGAAAGCTATCCAGAACTTATCACAGTCACTCAGGACTGGTAGGAGGTCAATATGCACATCGACCAGTCAAGTTCAGCTTGCAGCAGTAATGATGCTTTGTGTTTACGATGTCCGTATGACCAGACATTTAGTTCGTTACCTTGACTGATGTTTCACAGGTCTTTGATAGAGAAGAGCATAATTGGCACATCCATTTGAACGGAGCGAAGGAGATCATAAGGCGACAGCACTTCACAAATACGCCCGGTTCAAACTCAGATTTCCTTCTTACCTGGTGGTTATACCACGATGTTTTGGCTGCTTTCAACCATCCATCATGGCGACTTAACGAAAGCCCTGGTTCCGTCTCAACACCCGCTCTTTACACTTTCAGTGGTGATAATTCTCTCGTAAGTGCTCCCATTCTTACGTCCAGTCTTCTGACTCTAGTCTAGATCGTGGGGTCCTTGGGCTGTTCTGTTGAAGTGCTTGAGATCATTGATGAGATCAACATGATGCGACTACACTCCGCACATGATTGTCTGAGCACCTCAACGCTGCAAAGGTGTGATTTGGCAATGAAGCTTTTCAACCTCCGGCAGTTACTTTCTCCCCTCGAGTGCTCTGATAGTTTGAGATCACATCGCATCCTGGCCATCGCTGAGTTATATCGCCTAGCGACACTGCTCTATCTCCAGCGCGTGCATCCCATCGCGGAGGACGATTTCACGCGACCGGTCTATGTACAACAAGCCCTGGGAGTCTTGAAAAATCTAGGTGTTGCAACCAGTCCATGGCCAGTGTTTGTCATCGCATGTGAAGTTGATGAGCAAGACCGCGTCAGCATCCTTCATACGCTAGACAGAATGGACAGTGTGAGAAGCATTGGCAACATCAAGGTTCTACGAGATGTTATTGAGAGTATCTGGAAACAACAGGATCTTCGGAACATCGGAAAATCTGGTCAGCGTGTCGATTGGTTGCAGTTTGTGGAGTGCGATGTTCCGGTCCCGTGGTTTATCTAGGCCACGTCTAGCTCTCGTTCTGTCACATATACATAACAATCACGTTTTGGATACTCAAAGTATAACGCTTCTGTCCTGTAGCACATGCTAGACTGGGCCGTCCCACTGCTAAGCAAGCCTCTGGACTAAAGGTAAGTGCCGGGCGGTCTCACATAGTTCGGGTTGCAATGTCTTGTCCAAGTGAGTTCCAGAAGTGAATTGCTATCTAGTTCCGAAGGAAGACAGCTCGTAACAGTCCAGATGCAAAAGTCTCTGTTTGCCTCATGTTGTATCTGTTTGTTGCTAGCTGCCGCCCAGATGGGAACTTCGCCCTCATTGAAGAGCACAAGGTTACCATCATTCTGAATAATGAGATACGTGAGTCATTTCCCTTGCCCACAGAGGTATTGGTATGCCAAGTGGCATGTCCAGTACCAGAGTTGTCGCTGGGAGTGTTGGTAAGTCATGGCTCGTTTAAGTACGAGGGAGCACTTACTAGATGACGAGATTGCCGTCTTCTTGCATCTTGACGCCTTGAGGGTTCCAATCCTGTTGATCGGTGCCCTGCCAGGCGCAGTAGTCGCCGTGGTAGACAGCAAGCTTACCGTCGTCTTGCATACGACATTCTACGGAGCCGTCCTCACTTCATAGGCTGTTGCCGGCAAGGAGCCATTCGCCGTTGTTGAGTCTGTCGCCGTGCATTTCGATGGTTGGTGAAGTGTTGAGGTAGACTCTGAGATTGTATAGGGATGACGGTTGAGTCAAGACAGGTTCGAAAGGTGGAAGTGACTTTATAATGAGAATGCTGTCTACCTCGGGTAACCGTCCTTGAACTACCAGAAATCGGGACATTATGCGTTGTAACGTGTAACTGAACCCCTCACCTAGTTGACGAAGTGGCGTCCATACAAAAACACGGCTGCCATTTTCGGTTTCCAGTGCAGAGTCTGTGAGACACGGCAGAGGAGGTGTGCAAAGATGGGCCAAAAGTTCATTGAGCCGTGGACCGGGTTGACTCAAGTGAATCCCGATGTGACGCAACCACAGTCCCCCGACTACCCATCACCCTGATCCTCGGGGTCATGCAAGGGCCAAGCTGAATGCCGTGAGGCATAAGTTGCGGCGATAACCTTATCGCGAAAGCAGGACATTTGACCGCTTCATGTCCCGAACTATGCTTGTTAAGGATTTGCACGGTACTTGGATTGCCTGGGTCAGCTTATTGTCTTTCGGTTGGACAAGAGGCCCCGGTGGTGTTTCACGATAACGACGTGTCCATCATGATGTCTTAGCTCATGAATCTGTAGAGCAGACTACGTGCGACACCATTGGCCACCCCTTTCAGCTCTGCGGGAGATCGGGATTTGATCTTCAGCTGGTAGGCAGCTGAAAATGATCGGTATGAGGGGCAATTACAATGAGACCATGTCCCATTCTTCCAGAACTCAAGGAGCTATGACCTCTTGAACAGAGCTGTATGTCTCAGTCTCCTCAGCGCCGACCTCCCAATCAGCTAGCCAGAAAGCCCTACGGAAAATGATCGTTGAGACTTCGAGGCAACACATCACTGGCCTATGATGTGCTGATCCACGTCGTCATGTTACTGACGGACCTTGTAGAGCAGAGAGTGGCATCAACTTATGAGTAAGAGTGACGCAGGCAGTAACATGAAAGTTGACATCACCAACACGAAAGATAAAGTCTCTCGCAGGCAAAGGATTTGAGAGTCTGCTAAGTGAGCGCGTCGCGGACTGTAAATCCTTTGGTGTCATGAGCATTATCTGCACTACCTCTAACGGCACTAAAGGCGATGGAGATACTAAATGGTGACGGCCGACAAGTGTTATAAGAAGTGCGTAATCAATCACACTGTGATAACGAATGTCTGTGTTCAGTCACGCGTGCCAGATGCCGAAGAGGACTTGACATGATATAACGTGACGCGATACGACACGTCCAGGTGCTCGCGTACTGAGTGACATTGCGTGTCCTCTAACAATAGCGGGGCCTTCAAATGGCTGTCGAATTGACCAGCCACAAATCGGTACTTCTGATAAGGCAGCTTATCAGTGCGATAACACTCTGGACCATCATGTGATTACCCTTGCATTTGCGACCAAGCGCTTGCTACGGCGGCGCTCAAGAGCCATCAACGCAAAAGATACATTTCCTTCTCCTATCAACACAGCATCTCGCAAGGTCGGTAGAGGTGACAGAGCCAGTACCTGGAGCCCAGCAGCCAGGCAATCGAAAGGCTTCAAGTAGCGAACTCTTTCGCAAGCACCATTTCTCGGAGCTTCATTTCTCTCTACCTCCTTTTATCCTGCGCTGGTCTTCTATTATCACTGAATCATCGCACTGCATTCACTCACTGTATGTCTGGTTCATTGTCCCTCACACGCCCCTGTAAATTGGTGTGCGTCATGCGTTTGCTGTCAACTTGGCACCACTTGCCCAGCAACCGTTGGCTGCTTTCAGCTACAACATCAGTGCGACAGACAATCAGCCACCGATCCAACATTTACTCAACATGGTCAGGCCGTGCAATTGCCAGCAGCCAAAAAGAAATACAGGTCAGAAACACAACCGGCAAAAACATACAACAGCGGGGATTCGCTGGTCGTCACCGACCCAACTACTAATCCGCCGGTTAGTGGCTTGACTATGGGAGAGCGGACGGGATCCCGTATTTTCCACTACCTTTGGTCGTATGTGCTAGACAGAGCATGTGTTTTGGCCTATATCGACACCATGCCAGTGATCTCACAGCCTGTTTTCTTTACTCATGACACCTCGCGGTACTGTTGCTTTAAGTAATTCTGCCTTCTTTACTACCAGTTACAAAAGGCCAGATAACTCCTTGGGAATGGAATAACAGTGAGCTAATGTAATTTGCTAGACGTTTACGCATCGGTTGACATCCCACTACAGCTGATTGCTGGTCATATAGTTGACATCCCCTGTATGACATCACTCACCCGATCACTTCATCAACAAAACTTGCTAATTTCCATGATACCACCTGTCAAAAATTAACCAACGGCAAAAAATTATATACCAGCACTGAACCGGGTTTACTACAGAGAGGGCTTCACTGTCCCAGGGAAGATGTGCCAATTGACTTTCTCTGCATTCATCAAAGCTTACCCTTGAGCTTGAACTCAAACGGTTTCGGCAAGACAAACCAACATCAACCGATCGCGTCAACAATCCAGCAAGTTCTGGTTAGCTATAATACTCAATTGCCATTAGAACTCCACTAATTACCAATTAAGGACTCGATTCAACAGACTCGACAGAATCAGTGCATGCTCCCAAGCTCAAGCGTCCGTGGTTCGTCGCCAGGAATCGTCTATATTGGTAGTCAAATCTCGGCCAAGCAACAAGCGGGTTTAGCTCAGTTGGGAGAGCGTCAGACTGAAGTCCAACTTCAATCACTATCATTCGATATCTGAAGGTCGTGTGTTCGATCCACACAAACCGCATGTTCTCTTTTTGCTCTTCTCGCTAGTTGCCTGTGGGTCTGCTTGACTAGAAAGTGTCTAGCGTTGAAGAACCAGATGAATGGGGAACATCAGGAACTTCGTGACGGGGTTCAAGGTCCTGGCCAAGCTTGTCAGTAGACTCCAAAGCAATGATGAGTTTACAGGAGGGATCGAGTCTTAATTTTTAGCGTTGAGAAAGTAGTCGTCGTTGATTGAGTTGCAGGCTGGCCTTTGCGCGAGCAGACTGAATGACGCAGGCTCTTTACGCACAGTATACCGGGGCAATACCTGTCTATTGAGGCGCGTCTTAGAATAACAGTCCGATACTGTCGCTACCATCTATCCAGTGCTGTCCATGATCAATCAGCTCTGCCCTCAGAAGCTCAATTCTTCTACAGCAATTCTTTCGCTCTCCGCCAACGAATTGAGTGGGCATCCAAATCCACTCAAAGCACCGTCGGTGTGGCTCAGTTGGTTAGAGCGTTGGTCTCATAGCACGAAGCGTGATTTGGTCATAGATCAGAGTAATCCAAAGGTCGAGAGTTCGAGCCTCTCCACCGACAAGAACTTGTCTTTTTGACCATATTTCTCTTTTTGTTCTTCCGCGTTGGTAATTGCGTTGACAATTGGCTCAAAGACAGACAATTCAAGTTGACAATTTGCCTGTCGAGCTGCCGAAATGCCCTAGCCACGGGTACTGACCACGTCACAGCGAACTGCAACCAGCTGGGATCAATATGACAGATTATGAATTGAATGCGAACCGAAAATCCAGTAGCAAGTCGATCGTTCTTCCTACTCGGTTATATCGGCACTATGTAAGACTGTTCCTAGTATGTCAGCATGAGCCATGACGCATTTGGCCCAACATGTAAGCACGGCTCATGAACATACATCGCACACTCGCTTGTCCGAATACAGTATCTCATTCGAGATCAATCTCAGCCGAGATCAATCTCAGCCTTGTGATAATTATATCGTTTGGGAAGTATTCAGAATAGAGATTCATGGGAAGTGAAGGCTTAAACAAGTAGCCCTTTCGAGCATGTCTAAACATCACGACGTTGTTGTGCAGGAAGAGGCCGCCGAGATGAATGACATTTAAGAAGTCATAATGCTGGAGAACCAGTCTTCCTTTCCATAGACAAGAAACCAACTCACATCATTTGACAACTTTCACATTTAATACTATCGTCATCTTATTCAGGATGCTCTCCTTCCCTTGCATCATAGCATGGGGTACTCTCCTTGCAGCGGTATTCCTCCCCGACATAGCCTCTAATTTTAACTTATGCTGACAGACAAATAGGTCACCAACGCTCATGAGACCGAAGCATATCCACCAAATGTCACCATTTCCAACACCACAACGTCCATGTTCCAGCTCAGCAACGACACCGAGTTCTCATTCATCCTCAGCGAATATCTTTCCCTAGCCAACGAAGGTGGTAGCGCCACGGGGGAAGTCCTCCGAGCAGCTGCTGTGATCGAGCCAAACAACCCTGAGAGTTGGTATCACGAATTCAAGTTTCTTGCAGACAAGATCCGTGAACAGGCTGTTGCTGCTGAGAAGAAGAAGGACTGGGTCTCTGCTCGCTCAGCCTACTTCCGATCATCATCTTACTACCGAGGCGCCGACTTCTTCCTGCACGGTAACCAGTCTGATCCTCGTATCAATACCCTCTGGCAGAAGCAGAATGCAAGTTTCACAAAGGCTGTAAACCTTCTTCCCAAGCCCCCGACCTTTGTGGAGTTGAGGGCAACCAAATTCACTGTTCCAGCATACTTCTACCCAGGAGACTCTCAACTCCCTGCTGGGAAGCGCCTTGGCTACGGCAAGAAGATCCCAACAGTCATCGTTGGAACCGGGTACGATGGATCTCAAGAAGCTCTCTACCATAGCAACTGTCGCGAGATCATTCAGCGCGGCTGGAACTGCATCACATACGAAGGCCCAGGACAAGCGACGGTGCGTCGACAGCAGGATCTCGGCTTCATGCCTAGGTGGTGGGAGGCTGTTACTCCCGTTGTCGATTATGTTCGCAGTCGAAATGATGTTGACCCTGACCGAGTTGCTCTCATTGGTATGTCTTTTGGTGGACTTCTTGCGCCGTTGGCTGCGACACATGAACATAGATTGGCAGCTGTTCTTGCGATCGACGGAATGCTTAACCTTCAACGCTCCATCCTTGAGCAATTACCTCCCGCTTTGACCAAGCTTTTCCTTTCAGGTAACAGCACTGCCTTTAATGATGAGATCTACAGTCTTCTCAAGAACCCCAAACTCCCTACTGCTCTCAGCTGGCCCATCAACCAAGGAATGTGGGCATGGAACACCAAGAGCCCTTTCAAGTGGTTGACCATGGTGGGAGAGTTCAATCTTGATAAGCAGACCCTCTCTAAGATCAACTGTCCCGTATTTGTTGCCTCGGGACAAGATGACACGACGGCTCCGGAACAGCCAGAGCAAATGGCGAGGGCTTTTGGAAAGCAGGCGCACTACTTTTTGTTCAAGACGGAGCTGGGATCTGGGGTTCATTGTGCAATTGGGGCGGAGAATCAGCTTGCCCAGGAGACATTGGGTTGGCTTGAGGGTGTCTTTAACAAAGTCTCGGAGTAAGCATCACAAGGAGAACTTGTGATCCATGCGGCGACATCATAGCCTTGGCCTTGTGAGAGGATTATCCAGTGAAGGGAGTACAGGCACTTTGGCTAGAATTGTCTTAGGCTATTTATACTTTATTCATTTGACTGTCATCGGAGCAGCATTGATGTGATCTATTTGAAGTTATTATATCTAAAATTAGGACCTGGAGCTATTATTTTATTTATAGCATGCCTCTTTTTAGCTCCGCCTCAATCACTCTCTGCTTCACTCTGTGACGATTCCATCTCTGCCTTTAGCCTCTGATAAAACTTACTTCGTTGTCGAATGGTATTCCCGTATCGAATAAAGATGAACGGGATAGCACACATAAAGACGCTCACAACCCCAAGAAGCGTTGAAGCCCATCCAACACCAAGTTTGGTGTACATCGGCGCCGCAGCGATACATAGTCCCGCACCTGCAAGATTTCGTAGGCACGTTCCCGCCGCCATGGCCGATGCTGAGTACACTCCGTAGCAATCGCCCAGGTAAGTCGTTAGAGCGATACTGATGAGAAGCTGAGCAGCTCCGAACGGAATTCCTGCTATCATGGGTGACACCCACGAGATACTGGACCGTGAGGTCCAGCCAGCCCAGAAGAGTGAGATTGCCAGAAGAGGCCCGCCCATGCATGCTAGAGGCAACCTGCTGTACTCATTCTTCTGTGCCCAGGTTCGACCGGCCTTTTTGCAGCGTCTGTAGTAGGCATCCCATAGAAAGAATATCACCAGGCCAAGGCAGATTCCTCCTGCAATGGGCAAGTACATGAAGCTGCTTTTCTTGTTTGACATCCCGTAGATGCCCTTGAAGACGATAGGGTATGTCTGAAAGAACATGTAGTACACGCTGTAAGCTAGCGCGATGTATGTAGCCGTTGCAGCGACGATCAGCTCGGTGAAGAGCATATGCAGTGGTCGAATGAGCACGACACTCACAAGGTTGCGCCAACCCTTTGCTTCAAGTTCAATCGCGGCATACGTCTCAACGTTGCCCTGACCAGTCTTTACTGCAGATCGCCGAATCTTTTTCGCACGCCGGGCAAGGATGGTAGGGCCGAAGGTCTCTGGTAAGATTGCCAACGGAATGATGGTCACACCTGCAAATATGAGACTGAACCAATAAGCCCATCGCCAAGAGATCGGGGCCAAGTAGGCAGCTATTGTTGGAGCTATCAATGGCGCGCAGATACTCGCTGTGTAGTAGTATGTGAGCGCTCTGCCTCGCTGAGTCAGGTCGCTGTGTATGTCTGCGATGATGCCGCCGCCAAGTGTGCTAGGCGAGCTGCCAACAATGCCTGACATGAGCCGGAAGACCAGCATTGACGGCCAGTTCGGCGCTAGAGCGCAAGCAAGAGTGAACAGGATGTAGACGATGAAGGCCGCTTGGAGAACGTATTTGCGGCCTTGAAGCTCTGAAAGAGGTCCAAAGAGGAGAGGCCCGAAGACGTATCCTACGAGGAAAAGTGATATGGGAAGTGCCAACTCTGGGTTCCCTCGTCTATCGTCAATACCGAACTCAGCGGCCATCGGTGACATGGCATTGGCTGGGAGGGAAGAAGAGAGCGTGCTGTTGAACAATGTCAAGGTGAGAGTAAATACTACAAATCTCTTCTTGGCCTAACAGCTGTCAGTACTTGGAGTCCTTTGTTGATACGGGAACCGCATACCTTGGACCAGTTGTTGGGGTTCTCTGGATCATTGCTGTCAAATGTGACGATGACCCTTGTTGTTTGTTGTGACTCGAATGATGTCTTCTTCTCGAGCATCAACGATGCTGGTTCGGGATCCGATATCGCCTTTGAGACCTCCATGACGATATGAAATGACTGTTGTCCTGGGTGTAAGATTGTGGCGTCTAGCGAATCGGGATTACAAATGCAATTACTATAACCACAGATAGTATATTGGAGGACTTGGTAGTGTCGCACGAACAGGAACCAGGTGTGTATTGCTCGAAATGGTAGGATATTCTCCGACTTAAACAATCCTTCTCTTGGCTAGAAGCTCGTTCAGCATTTCCGCTTGGGGACGCTACAAGCGACAAGCCATTGTGGGGATCATGCATTTCGCCATCAAATATTTATTGTTGGTTGACCTCGGGTTTACTCAATCAATTCAGCCCAGTAGTAATGCTGCTCGTATTAGAGACTTTCGGCCATACCTCGGTTCCGCCGCTTTCTTGTACTTCAATTGACAATTCGTCGACTATCACAATGCTCATTAGGGGCGTAAACACGGTAATAGCTCGGACACAGAGGGGTTCATCCTGATATTGAGCTCAAGAACGTTAATGTGGGCTTCCATGGGATCCATTCCTCATGTGCGTGTACTTGACAGATCTTGTGTCTGGTCGATTCTTCGCCTGGCTAAAATGTCAGGGAGCGATATCGCATCAAGTGCACGAAGCCTAGAGAGAGCAGATGTGATTGGCCGTGCACCTCGTGAATGACCAAGCCACTTTCTACATCTTCACCACGACAACCGTGAAATTGATTCAAGATGGATGAGTCTGTATAGTAGTTATGCGGTGATGCACCCTTCAGCCTTGCGGCTCATCGCAAGATATCACACCGCAAAGAAGAGAATTGTATCGGCAGTTTACAATATGCATAAGTCAATGGGCCTTTGCCTAATCGGGTCTAGAACACCAGTCAACTTGCATGTCTCCTCCACTCGTTCGAACTGTCCCAATGCGGTAATTCTATACGGAAAGCCGTCATTACCAACCTCTCAGGCTCTCCAGTTTGTTTGGTAGTAAGGAAACGTCGCGACACATTGCCACGGCTCGTTCGTTTCCGCCAATTCCGATCACAAATGCCCTATTAAGTATTGATGAACAGAGCAATGTCTGGTCGTGTTATACGACGGCGAAACGTCAAGACTCGCAACCGCAATGGCTGCGTCACGTGCCGAGCTC